TGAAATTGAGTTTTTAATAGATGATTTTTCAACAAATAATAGATTTGAAAACTTTATGAAAGGTGGAATTTATGAACTATTTTTTTGGAATTCAAAATTATTTTCTAATAATCAAAAAAAAATTATTGAAAATAAATAGTTAGAAAATATAAATAGATTAGTAAAATTAGAATAAAATACTAATATAATCCAATATTTAGATGAATTATTGACAATATCAGAAGCTTTAAAACATAATCAACTTTTTACACCAATTTCTTCTAGTCTATTTTCACAAAATCTAAATTCAGAAAAAGAAATATATAAAAATTATATTAATAATAATATTCTATTTGATTATTAATAGAATTAACAAATATATCAAATAATTCTAAAAAGGAATTTAACAAAAGATGATTAAAAATATTAGATGAAGAAGAAGTTCCAGAAATACTAGATCCAATATCTGAAAGTTCTGATAATTTTAATAAACTTGAAAATGAAATAAAAAATATTGAATTATCTAATATATTAAAATTAGTTAATAATAATAATATTTATCAAAAAATTATTAACTCTAATTTACCTGAAAATGATATTTCAAAACTACAAAATTAAGAAAAAAATAATTAAATAAATTAATAGAAAAACAATATAATGAATTAGATAATATAATAAATACTTCAAAGGATATAGATGAATTAAATAAATTGAAATCTATAATTGGTGATTCATTTTTAACTAAATCTCAAAAAAAAAATTAGAAAATAATTGATTAGAAAAAATTGAAAATCTTAAACCTATTAAAAAACCAGAAAGTATTTCATTTGATGAATTAAAAGAACAAATTGAAAATATTAATTTATCAAATGTAAAAAAATTACTTGATAGTAATGATTTACATCAAACAATTACCAATTCAAATTTACCACAAAATAATATTGATAATTTAGAAAATTTAAGAAATAAAAAATTAAAACAATTAATAAATAAACAATATAATTAATTTGAAAATTCATTAAATTCATTAGAATTTAAAAAAGATTTGGAAAGTTTAAAAAATCCAGTAATAAATAATAAATTATTACTAAAAAATCAAAAAGATAATATTTTAAATTTGATAAAAAATAAATTAGATAAAACAAAAGAAGAAGAAAGATTACAAAAGGAAACTGATAGAAAATATAATACAATTGAAAAAAATATTGATAAATTTTTAATATCAGAAACACTTGATAAATTCATTATAGAAAATATAGATTCTTTAAATGAAAAATATTTAACTGATGGTAGAAATAAAAACAAATTAAATAAAATCTATGAAGAAAAAAAAAACATTAATACATCAGTTTGAAAAAGAAGAAAATAAAAAATATGATTTTTTAATTGAAAATATTAAAGATTGTAATGATCTATATTTACTATCAGATAAATATTATAATAAAATATATCATAATATTAAAGAATTAAATAAAGCTTATCTTTCTAAAGATAATACAAAATCAAACTTACATCAAATTAAAAAAAAAAGAAAAGATGAATTAGAAAAGAAGATATATAAATAATATGTTTTTACTTTATTTTTTTTTTATTATTATTAACAATTGTTAAAATAAATAATGAAATAATTAGTTGGATTTTTTTAATAAAGAAAACATACCTGAAAAAAATCAAGATGATTGGCAATTTTCTGATTTAACTATTGAAGAATATAAAATAGCAATAAATAATAGATGAGATAATGAAAATAACAATTTAATATTAAATCATTATATTAAACATCAAAATTTTAAAAAAATAAATGTTTTAAAAATAAAAAAATCCAAATTAAATAAATCACTTGATATTCTTGACAAAATTAATGAAAAAAAGAAATATATTTAAATTATTACCTAAAGATTTTGAAATAGATAATATAAATAATTTAGATGATAAATTTTTACTATGTAGTATAAAAAAAGATCTCTTAAAAGCTATTAGAAATAAAAGAAATACATTTTAATATAAAATAAATGAACCTAATAATGAATATAATAATAATAGTTTAAATTAAATGAATATAAAAAAAATATTAAAATCACTTAATGAAACACTAGAATGGAAATTTGAAAAATGGAAAAAGAAAGTAATACCAGAATTCTTGAATAAATTTTTAGATAATTTTCTTCAAAGAAAAGATGATGAGAATTTAGTAAAAAAAAATCTTGATAGATGGTTAAAAGGAGAAGATTCTTTATCTAACCAAGATAAATTAAGAGAATATAGTTTAATTGAAAAATCTGAACAAAAAATAAAAGTAGCTGAAATAAAAAATTCTAAATTTACTGGAAATATTAATAAAATTACAATATCTGATACTAAAGTTATAGAAAAAAAAGCAGAACTTGATAAATCATTAGCTAGTATATATTTATTAGCATATGTTTTTAATTTAATAGAATTTGATATAGAAGTATTAAAAAATAATAATAATAGTTAAAATTCAGATAGTTTTGCTAAAATAAAAGATATTACTGTAAAACTCAAAAAAGGTGGTAAATTAAAACTTAAAATAGTTGATGTTGATGGATTAGGAATTCTTCTTATTCTAACAGATGGTGGTAAAATAACTAAAGTAGTAAAATGTTTATTTACATATATTTTTCCGAAAAAATATATTATATTGATAATACCAAATGAAGAATTAGCACCTGATGCTGAAAATCATCATAATTTCTGGTTACAATATAGTAATGGTATTTCTTATAAATGTGTCATATATGAAAATCAAGGAGAATTACCATTGTTAACCTACAAAAATGATTATAACTCTTGAACTATTGACAGAATTCAATAAAACTATCACCATTCGAATTAGCTCACTAAGATGGTTCTAATAGGGTATAGATTATCCATTTTCAATCACAGGATCACAAGATCGAATCTAATAACCAAATTAATAAGAAAGCTGCAATCTAATTGGTTGATGATAACTGCCCGAAATATCATACATATAACATATATAACATTTATGCATTTTGAAGCATCTATATTTTATATTATATCTAGTTCATA